ATGACTCAGAGGCATTCCTAGTAAGAAAGGGAAAATCACACATTGGATCAAAGCCAGAGCAGGGCAGCACATACCTGCAATCTGGAAGTCAGTCGAGCGGAGGAGACAGGGTCTTCCAGCGCAAGGGGAGGAGTCTGAGGACTTACCTTCCTCCACCTTCCCCTTCACCGGCTTCTTCTGGCGGACAGCCAGTGCCCACTGCAGAAAAAGATGTTTTGAATTGCTAACACTTCTAAGTGTCAATTTGAGATTTATTTTTATAAGAAAATAAGCCATTTTATTTTTAGCAGGATGTGGCTTTTGAAAGAAAACAATGAAAAAAGATGAAAAAAAAAACCCTAAACTTTTCATCTGAAGCGGTGTTTGTAAAATGCCCCTCTGAACTGTCTGGTGTTGATTTGTGATCAAACATTTAGAATGAATATACATTATATTTGCATTCAGCTATTGAGAGATAACCACTTACTAAACCGCAGTGCCGGGTCTTTCCTCTGGGCCAGAGACAGAACAGCGTGACAGAGTCCCTGCCCCGCACAGCAGGCATTCGGAGTTGTTCAGGGTTGCATTCTGTGGGGCAGTGATTCATATATTGCAGTACTCTTCCCCAGGCCTCAGCATGCGGCCTGTTTGGGAACGTGGTCACTGCAGATGCAGTTAGTTAGGATGGGACAGTCAGAATGGACCTTCACCCCAGGCGACCGCTGTCCTTATAAAAAGGGGGAACAGGTGAAGAGGTGGACACACGGGAGGAATGCCACGTGGAGATGAAGGCAGAGATCGGGGTGATGCCTCCACAGGCAAAGAGCACCACCTTCTGCCAAGAGACCCTGGGGGGGGGGGTGAGGCGTGGGCCTGATTCATCCTCACAACCCGCAGAAGGAGTCAACGCTGCTGGCATCTCGGTCTCAGACATCCAGCCTGCAGAACTGTGGGAAAGTCAGTTTCTGTTGTATGAGCCACCGTTGTGCGGCACTTGTTATTGCATTCCTAGCAAACTAAGGCACAGGAGGAGTTGGGCAGTGGTCAAGGAATTACATGTTGTTAGTTCCAAACGGAGGTAAGGGCTCTGAAAGGAAAGAACCTCATCCATGCTTGCAGAAACGGAAGGACCTTGGCTAGGTCTTGAGAGCAATGAAGGCTTTCTTGAGGAAGTTAGAACTGAAGGCTGCACAAGAGTCAGGTAGAGGAAAACGCTGGAGGGAGAGGTGGTACTGGCCCAGGGAACCGTGCATGCAAAGGCCCTGTGGTAGGATAGAACATCATGCACTGTGGGAATGGAAAAAGGATCCATGCGAGAAGAGGAGATGGTGAGGGAGATAGGAATATATGGATGGCCAGGGACTGAAACAGGCCTGCAAGAGATATTGTTATGGGCTCTACACCTCCAGTTGGACTTGTGGGAAGCACTGTTATGAGTTCTAGGTCTTCAGCTAGACTCATGCAGGACATTTCTGTGGGATCCAGGCCCTCAGCTGGATTCTTTGGTCTTCAGTGTGTGGACAGATTTCCTGCACTCTCTTTTGTATATAATTCTTTGGGTGACTACTATAAATAATCTTATAAAATATATGTCCTGTATTATATCGTTCCCCTTGCAAAATCCCAAACCACAACAACACCGGAAGACAAAACCCAGGATTATACAATAAGGTTCTCCTCCAAGCCAGAAAGAGAATTCCCTTAAATATCGGAAGATCTTGCCAATTCATTCAAATCGAGTTTGCATTGATCTAAAGTTAATACAGTGAGATAACTCACCAGAAGGAGATCATTGAGTCCTCTGTAGCCAAGTAAGTGAGCAAACACAAGGAAGTGTGCTGGTGCGCCTCCACGGTCCAGGACTCACTCTGGGGAAACAGCCCTGCTAGCGTTTACAGAAGCCGTCTCCAAGGCTGTGGGGACAGCAGATGGCCAGAGACAGCCACCAGCTCAAGGCCCGTGATAGAGCCTCGTGATCAAGATCCGCTCTGCTTCACCCTGGGGAAAAAGCGTGGAGAATCTTGTTCTCTTGTCTCTCTGCCCACTCCCTGGGGAACAGAGAATACCCAGGGCCCGAGGACAGGGGAGGCCCCTCAAAGTTCCCATACTGTCTCCACCCTGGTCTCAGAAACCAGTTCTTCTCTCTCTGCTCTGTAACATAAGAACTGGTTTTCTCAGTGCAGTGTTATATGATGTCCTATGAACTGTGAATACGACCGAAATGTAGAGAATAGAAATTTCCCTGACTTTGGTGCCGCTCCTCTGCCTGAGACAACCTAAAGTTAACAACTTAAATATACTTCTGGAATTTTTCTTCATCATTTCTGTACATGTTTATGCATGCATCATTAATGGAATGTATAATGTTTCTGTTGTGAAAATGTCATTTTAAAATATATACTGTTCTCAAATATGCTTTTCCACTTAATATTATAGATGTTCAATAAATATTTATTGTAAGAATGAGCCATAATTTATAATTCAGGACTTTTGGGCTGTTCCCAAATAGCTATTCAACAAACATGATTATATATAAAAGATAGGATTGCAATGCATAGCTAAACACATATAGGACATAGGCATAATTGCATATAATAAATAAGTGTATACAGCACATATATAATTACACTAGTAAAGCACGCAGTATCGAGGTGTTCAGGGTGCTCTCTGATGTGTTTTATGCGCATCCCTTCAATATATGTTAATAAATTACCCTTGAAAGACAATTTTCAGACCAGTGTTTTGGGACCTGTGGGAACGAAGCGTGGCCTGCTGCCTTGGTTATGTTACAGCGTTACACATTTTCCCTAAGTCCTCAGCAGAGCAGATCAACTTGGTTGTGACCCAGAATTCAACAAGGCTAACAAAGGGCAACAATTACTCTTAGAAAGCAAAGAAACTGCTTCTAATTCTTTTAGAACAAGGAGGAAAGAATAATTGCACTTAGTGGGGGTGTGGGGAAAAAAAGGAGAAGGAAATAGAAAAATTCTTTCCCCTGCTGGTATAGACATTCCTGTGTGATTGTACGGTGTGGTAATTGTAGGTCATTTAAAGGACATAACATCATGACAGATTTACCTTCCGCACTTCTTCCTGGAGCTAAGCACACAGTGACTTGCTTCCTACACAGGCCTGGAGGTTTGTCACACCTGGGTTCGTCCAAGGTAGCCTGAATACCCTATCCCTTCAAGAAGGTCCTCCTGTCCCTACACGTTGTCTGTTAGGTTTGCTGAAGTCCACCGATGGTACCCACAGCTTGTAAGGGAGGGCAGGGGGTGGGCACCGCTGTAGATTGTGAGAGAAGACCCAGGACAGCCGCGGGCATGAGCTCAGTTTCACCCGGGCCTGAGGACAGTCACGCCGGTCCCCTGCTGAGACAGTCACTGTCATGGTGGCTGTACAGGGACAAAGACCCAGCCCTGTGTTCCTCACAGTACTAGGGGAAAAGGAAAGAGGCTTTGTGACTTTCTTTACACACAAAAAAGTACTTAAATGTGATCTTTAACTGTGTGAATGCAGACTCAGACCTGGTAGGCCGAAGAGAACAATTAGGCCAGGGCCTGAGTGCGTGAAGCGGAAGCGGGTGGCAACCCAGACAAAGGTGCTGGAGATGGTTGAGGTGGAGGGGCAGCGGATAGGATAGTGAGGCAGGAGTTTCAAGTGGATGAATACTAATTAGTGACATGGATATTAATGATGACAGTAATTAACAGGGGAAAGGAAGGGCTGTCATTGTCCCAGGGTGAGTAATCAATCTTGGCAGGTGATAAATAATGGTTGGGCAAGCTCAGCAGAAAGATAATCCGCTGGCCCTGGGGAGAGCTGGGGAGATGCTGGAAACCTCGCAGTTTCTAGGCAACCCACAGAAAAGAACTATTTTTATTTTGAGGGGGAAACAGGTTAAAGTCTCTCCCTCACCCCAACCCCCCAACTTGGAATTACAGTTTTTACTTGATTTCTGTTTTGTTCCTCCTATGCTAGGACAAATGTTGAACTTGTATAATTGGAGGAAATGAACACACATTCATTCTCTCTCTCTCTAAGAATGTGAATGAATGGGAGTGCTTTTGATCCAAGGCTTAGCTCGCAGAGGCCAACCAGGCACGAGAGCAGGGAGATGCTGACAGTCCTGCTTTCACAGTTGAATGCAGAGGACGCGAAGGCCCTGTCTGTGATCCCTGCAGGGAGCCCAGGGAGGAAGGGTGGGCTGGGGCCGGGGGAGCCCTACTGTGTAGGGTTACAGCCCTCAGAGCCAGCTAGAAACAAAATGTCTAGGTTATTCGGCCTGCGCTGGGCCCACTTCTGGCAAACAAAGTTCTGGGAAATTTGATTTCTGAGAAGATGGCCTTGTTCATGAAACGCCTCTGCTGGATCTCCGGTGGCCCATCTGGAAATGCAGCCCCGGGAGCGACTAGCAGACCCTCCGCCTCACACTGAAACCTCAGACTCACAGTAGGGCTCAGAGATCTGAAAATGTCAGCCCTTTCAGGCTGTTCTCCATCAAATATTCTGCCCGAGGTGACAAAGCCACCTTCAGGGGTCTGCGCTGGTACGAAGTGAGATCTTTGGGTGAGAAAAGTAGACTGAGCAGATGTTCAGAGCTTTCCAGAAAAGTGTACTCTTCCACCCCCACGTCACCGGGCTGCTTTTAGAACATGGGTTCTAGGCGCCATGTTTTCAGAGGGAGGCAAACACAAGGGAGCATGTAGAGGGGAATGTGACCAAAATAGTGATGAGCTTCAGGCCATGTCATGTGAGGAAACACCTGAGGAGATCCAGGCACCTCTCATCGGGAGCAAGACACGGATGGCTCATGGGAGGACTGGTCTCACAGGGTAATTAGGTCTGGGTTTGGACTTGCTCTTCTGTTATCTGAGGGCAGAACGAAGGCCAAAAGGAAGAGCTAGGAGAGAGGCTGTGTGCTGACTGAAATGAAGATTCTCTTGGGTAAAAATGTTTCTTCTGCCCACAGGGATTAAACACCCATGAGGTCTTCAGTTGAAACTGCTTTGTTGTTGCAGGTACTGACATTGTGCAGTGGCTTATGAAGAACCTCTCGATCGAGGACCCAGGTACCTGACCCTGTCTTTACCTCCTCGGCCATCAGCACACACCCAAGCCGGGTTCTCTTACCGCCCTGACAACCCGGCTGACCCCTGTGAATTCCAAGTTGTGGGATCACCCTATTTACAAATAAAATTAATGCACTCTCTCCACTGAATATCTATCTTCAGATTTCAATCACCCTTGGAGGAAATGAGCAACTATTTAGGATGCCAGCAACTATTTAGGATGCCAATACAATAGCGTGTGAAATGAGATGAATTCTCGTTAGCCGCAGCAATTAAAGATAAGTTGTAGCACTGTCACTGAACAGCCTTCTAGAGCCAGCGCTTAAAATTAGATTGCCTGATCCACAATTAAGATGTTTAATTATTTGCTAAGACTCCTTCTGTTTCCTGCTTCTTCGAGAAGTAGAGGAATGATGGTTTTTTTCAACTCTAATTGTGCATTTCAATTAGGAAAACCCTACCAGAAAAACAAGAGTGAAATCCTGGCCAATAAGGCAGCTCCAAAATTTATCCTCCCACCAGAAAATAAGCAAGGAAACTTATTTTTACAGTAGAATTGGGAAATGGGGGTAAGTCTCCAGAAAAATGAAAATTCTAGGTACATGCACCTAATTCTTTCATGTATCATTAGTTAATACATTTCTAAATTTATCACACACCACTTTGTCCTGCTTAGCTGGATGTTCGTGATACCTGCAAGTCAAATTTATCTTTATAATCTAATGTGGGTCCACTCTGGTGTCCTTGCTAGACCCTGAGGGCAGTTAGATTTATCCACCCCCAAGTTTAATGGCTCCAACCACCATGCTTTCTCAGGATATTTTTCAAGTGCCCACTCCAGCTGTGATTCCTTGCTGGGATCAGTATGTCAGATCAGCCATCCTTGTATTTTTAGCCTGACATTCTTAGCCGCTGCTGACTATGAAACAGTGGAATTTACATATAGTTCAATTAAATAGTTGCCTAGAGTCTGAGCACCAGAAAAGTAGAAAAGTGGGTCATTTGTGGAAGTGAGCCTAATCTTTTCACCACCTTGGTTGGTGGTACTCCAGCAACTAGCCAAAAAAAAAAATATATATATATATATATATAAGTGTAGTCAAGTTCTTAGTTCACAGGGAAAAAATACTATAAATGTTCGGTTTTTTCCCTATGTGTTTCCCTATACAGCTGGACTACTGATGGTCTACTTGTGAAATCCGGACTGGATAACCACCTACCAGTTTAATTATATTTATCTGAACTCAGTGTTTCTTTTGATTATGATGCTAAACTAAGTAACACCATTCCTCGGGTGGTCTTTCCCAAGAGCACTGCTGTAGTCCCCTCTCCAAAAATCGCTGTATTTATCACTGTCATCATCAGTCCAAGAACACCAGCCCAGCTAATAATAGGTGAGAATACTGTGGCCTATGTAATCATCCTGCACTAATAAAAATAAAAATTAAGAACAAGCAAAAGAAACTGCAGGGATGGGCCCTGAATGAAGGTCATGTCTCCGAAGGTCTATTAAACTCTGGTACCCTTCGGAGGACGTCAAGATGTTGGGCTCAGCACGGACTTCTGAGAAGTAGCTGAGTAGGAGGAAGTAAGAGCAATTCCCTAGCAGAGGCGAGGCAAATCAATCCCTGAGAAGCCAGGTACATTCGACATCTGCCCCTCCCTCCGTTCTCTCCTTTCTTCTGCCAGATTTCTAAATAAAAACATTTTTGCTGAAGATATTTTTGCTCCAGTGTTGGTGATATGAAAGTCACCGTCTTATAGATCTTGTCCTTCCATCCTTGAGAAAGGAGCTGTTGCAGACGATGACAGTCTTCTCTTGCTGGACACACAATTCTAGAAGCGTACAAGCAGCCCTCCGTATTACTGGTCTGCATCTGCAGATTCTTCCAAACCTGGGTTGAAAATATTCAGGAAAAAAGTACAACTGTACTGAACATGTACAGACATTTTCCTGGTCATTCCCTAAACAACACCATGAAAACTATTTACGTAGGATTCACATTATATTAGGCATTATTATAAGTAATCTATAGATGATTCAAAGTATATGGGAGGATACACATAGGTTATATACAAATTCTACAGCATTTTAAAAGAGGATTTGGGCATCCACAGGTTTTGGTGTCCATGGGGGTTCTGGAAACATTAGTACTAGGAGACAACTGTGCAGAATTTTAAAAGAAACTGGTCCTTAAGAAGCAAGTAAAATAACAGTCCATTCATCTCAATTCCATGGGTACAAGTGTACTTCTACATTTTTTTCAAAAGGGGATAAATGATTCTTAACACGCCAAATATTTGGGTTATATTCAGCCTCTTGAATAGTTTACAAGTAGAGTCAAAGCAAATCACCTTTAAAAATTCTGAGCCTATAAAATGAGTATTTTTTAGATACTCCTTGAGCATGTCAACTCCATGTCCAAAAGTTTGTTTTTAACTACTGAAAATACTGTGAGATTTCTGGAAGATTCTTTCATGTGGTAGGAGCATTTTTTCCCTTGTGTTAGCCCCACTCAAGATAAATGTAAATTCTTAACTACTGGCACGAATCTACTTATGGCTGATGCTGAAGTAAAAAAGCAACAGGCTCACTGTGCCAGTAATAAGCATATTCCTACAAAGCTGGGCTCCCTGTCACTACCCACTCCACTGTCCTTCCCCTAACTCCCTTAAAAAGTGAGATTTTACCCGATGTGCGTAAGGGCAGGAAACACCCTTCTGCTCACCACGGGGCTATTGTCTTAGGGAGACACCGAGAGGGTCTGAACCTGCACAGGCAGCGAGGAGGCCTCACTCTCCCTGCTGACAGTGGTTCAGCGTGATGAAACTGAAGCTATGAATCAGGGCTGCCAGTGCTTACTGAGTATTTGCCCTGCCCCGGACACCGCTAAGCGCTTTATGTGAAATATTTCTCTTCGTTAAATACAAGTTTATCTATGCCAAAGCTCCTGCCCTTGACCATGAAGCTAGACCTGACTTGCTTCTGGAAGGTCCTGGAGCGTGGGAGGTTAAGAACTGGCAGATTCTAGCAGCTGGGGTCCAGAGAAGCCCAGGTGCATGATGGTCCTTCCCAACTGCGGGCCTCTCTCCTCCCCACCCCCACCCCAGCGGTCATGGCCCCAACGCTGTCATTTAGGGAGGATGACACTTGACATCTTTTTGCTCTTACGTAAATGAAATAAGCTGCTCTCTGGTTCTTTCTCTCCCCGTACAGTTGAAGCAATACACTTGGGCAGCCTCATAGCCGCCCAGGGCTACATCTTCCCAATCTCAGACCATGTGCTCACCGTGAAGGACGACGGCACCTTTTATCGTTTCCAGGTGCGCCTGCTGCTCCTCCTCCCCTTGTAGTCATCCCCGTCTGGCCTCAGATTAGAGCTACCTGATACCTCACCTAATCCCTGAACGCGGGTGTGGTCGGGAGCAACCTTATGTCTTCACCAGCGCTGGGAAAACCGAGAGAACCTCATGTCTGGGGTGCTTCTTGACCCACTTAAACATGAGTGAAAAGCCCTAATTGAGTGCCTGTCTCAAGGGGCACTGTCTTGGGGGCTGCTGTAACAGAATGCCCTAAACTAGGTAGCTTACAGACTCATTTCTCCCCGTCCTGGAGGCTGCAGAGTCCAAGACCAAGACACCAGCCGGTTTGGTGTCCTCTGTCTTCTCTGTCACACGGATGACACTTTCAGCCGTGCTCTCGCACCAGAGAAGGGGCGGAGCCTCTTTCAGGCCTGTTTCCTAACAGCAGTCATCTCCTTCAGGAGGACTCCACCCCCGTGATCTAACCACCTCCCAAAGCCATACCTAACGCCAGTGCCTTGGGGAGCGGGTCAGGATTTCACCATGTACATTTGACGGGGGGAGACAAACATTCAGGCCATAGCGGACACTTTGTGCATATTTCCTTATCTATTGTGAAGAAACTTCTATAAGTTTATTCTACCTCTAAAGAGGTCAATGTCACCCATTTTACAGATGGGAAACCTGAGGTGTTCAGAGATTAATGTGGTATTTAGTAAATAGAACAGGAAGCCTCGATCTGAGGCGACAGAGCCTGATAGCACCATCGTCACCTTTACTACCTCGTGCTGCCTCCCTGGGGCAAAGATTCCATATGCCACCTGATCATCCTCTCCACCTGCTTTGTACTCACTCCTCCCAGGTCCACCCTTATGGGCTTGGGAAGAGGGTGAGGGGTCGGTCCAAGGTCTAACCAAAGGTTTTAGCAGCAGAGTTCTTAAAATGGCCTGTGTACTCAGGATGTCTACAGTAAGACTTCTCTTGTTTCAGGACAAGAAGTTTTTCCCTATAAATTAAATATCTCTGTCTCTGTCTCTCTCTCTCTCTCTCTCTGTCTCTCCCTTTCTCTCTCTCTCTCTCACTCTTCTCTCTGTCTTTCTTTCTGTCTCTCTGTCTCTCTATCCCTTTCCCTCTCTCTCTGTAGAGACAGAGAGAGTAGAGACAGACAGTCTCTCTGTCTGTCTATCTATCTATCTATCTATCTATCTATCTATCTATCTATGAGATTAAACCCAGGGCCTTCACACTGAGTTACACACCCAGCCTTTCAATATATTTTTTATTTTAGATTTATTTTGTTTATTTTGGATTTCACTTCTCAACATAGATTAATGTGTTGACTGGCTTCAGCTGGATTGTTTAAAAAAACAACAACAACAACAACAACAACAACAAGAAACGAGAAAGCCTGAATATGGTAGCACATAATTATGATCCTAGCTAGGAGGCTGAGGCAGGAGAATGGCAAGTTTGAGCCCAGCCTGGGCTACTTAACAAGACCCTGTCTTGAAATACAGAAGTGCTGCAGGTGTTGCTCAGAGGCAGAATGCTTCCCTGACATTTCCAAGGCCCTGGGTTCCCTCCCCAATACCACATACCCAAAACAAAACCAAGAGAGTTGGTATACCATCAGGCAGGAAGAGATGGGAGAGCGCCTGTCCTAAAGAAAGGGCCTTGCTGGGAGGCGGGTGAGGGTGGGCGCTCCGCTCCCTGGTAACCATGTGATTCTTTGCAGGCTCCTTACTTCTGGCCTTCGAACTGTTGGGAACCTGAAAACACTGACTACGGTGAGAGCTGGAGCCACAACCCACGCTCCACACTGCTCCGGGAGTGCGGAGGACACATGCCGGGTGTGGGTGACTGGGGTGCACAGGAGGGGGGGTCTTCGCCTGCCCTGTCTGACACTGTTGATATGTAATGAGCACTCCGTTCCACAAAATGCAGGAAGGCAGAGCAGACAGAAAGATGCCACTATTGAAAGCAAAAGGACAAAGGGAAGAAAAGTTTTATCAATGATGATCAACAGGTTCATTCTGTGGGGCCATGGATGACTAGGATCCCATGGCAACACTAAGTAATAGTGACTTTTGCTTGCTCCTTCCTGAGACAGGGTTTCAGGGAAGGCTTGGTCCAGGAGCCACTTCCCCTGGCCCTTCTAGTTTCACAGACTTATTAAAATTTACTAAGAACTTGGTGATTTTAACAATTGGAAGTTATTGGAAAAAGGAGATAGACCAGAGAGGGATATACAGATGTCACCTTGGACCAGAAAAGTTAAAAGTGGAAGAAGATGAGGTCTGGATAAACAGAGAGTTGTATCTATCCAGACGGGGACCTGTTAGCCCTTTGCTGTACTCTCTCAATAGAGACTATTTGATATTTCTCTGTGCCAGCTCTCAGAAGAAATTCGACTGTCCTTATGCTTATGATAAAGAAGCTGGGGCCCAGAAAGGCCACATCCCAGCACTGTCACGTTTGTCTGAAACCCCAGTTGATTATAAACCCCACGAGGGCAGGAACTGGTCCATCTTGTACATTCTCGTGTCCTTCAGGACATGGTGCGTGCCTGAGACACAGTTGGTGCTGGGTAAATATTTCCCGATGGTTCTGGTTCTTGATTGAAGGTGTTCAGCAGACACTCCCTGGAGGCAGGAGAATTTGAACTCAGATCTGAGTGGCTCCAGCACTCACGCCCTCCCATTGTTCTCTGTACGATGAGCCTGAGGCCGTAGCAGCAGCACCTTCCCCTTTGTATGGCCCCCTGGTAGTTGTTGTGGCAGTCTAGCCCGTGGCCTTCCTTGGGACGGGGCACTTGAGGAGCCTGTGGATTCTTTCTAGATTTTTTTTGCAGCCTTGTTTACAATGGGGAGGCTGCTGCAGTCACCAGGAGTCGGGGTGAGGTGTGTAGCTGGCTGGGGCTCAGGAGAGGCTGTCTGGAAGACCTGCGGGAAAAGCCGCCGGCTCTGGAGGGGAGAACAGCCCCTGGCAGCAGTCCTGAGACGGAAGGCAAGCGGGTTGCTGTGCCATGAGACTCTGAGCCTGGAGGCGGGACTCACAAATGAGGCAGGACCGCTGGGCAGTGTGCTGAGCTATCCGCAGGCACCACTTTGGACTCTCAGAAATGGCCACACCGCAAATGACGCAGTGAGCAGGTCCAGCGAGCATCTGGCTCAGAGCAGGAGCTGCATTTGGCCATGCATAAAGCAAGTGACTCAGGGTCTAAAATACGGCTCACGGTGGCCCAGCTGGCAAGTGGATAATTGCAGCTTGCTTCCGTGCAAGTACCCTTGTGAATATGAAATGCAGTATCTCTCCAGGCCACGGGGAGAGTGGGAGGAGGACGAGACCAGATACTTTGACCCAAGATTAAAATCTGTTTACTCCCTCTTACACAGCATGCAAAGGGAGTTATTTCCCTTTCTCTGCAGATTTCCTCCGTTTCATACTTTTTGGTGAGTAGATAAACAAGGATAAAAATGACTGCTGGTTTTAGGCTCTCATGAAAGCAAAATTATTTTGGATTCTCGGCAAATTGGGTGAAGAAGTCAAGGTGCAGGATACAGAAGTGCTTGCCAGTAATTCCAAAGCAGTTTAGTGAACAAATCAGTGTTTACCAAGAGAGAACTCAGCATGGCAGATCCCAAGAGCAACCAGCTGCGTGACCTGTGTGACTTCAGCAAGTTGCTTGTGTTAGCTTTCTGTTGCTGTGACAAAAATACCTGAGAAAGTCAACTTAAAAGAGGAGAGATTTATCTCAGCTCACAGTTGCAGAGGTTCAGTCCATGGTCATCTGGCTCCATTGTTTCTGGGGCTGTGGCAAGGTAAAGCATCCTGACAGGGACCATGTGATGGAGCAAAGTTGCTTACCTCATGGCAACCAGGAAGCAGAAGGAGAGGGAAGAAGGGGCTGGGAACAAGATACGCATTTCAAGGGCATAGCCCCAGTGACCTAGTTCCTCTAACTAGGCCCCACCTAAATTTTCTACCACCTCCCAATACCCCCTTAAGCTATGAATTCATAAATAAATTCATCTGTTCATGAGATCACAGCCCTCATGACCCAGTCACCCCCCAGAGGGCTTACACCTGAACACTGCTGCATTAGGTAGCAAGCCTTCAACACATGAGCTTTTGGGGGACATTTGAGATCCAATCTGTAACACTGCCTTACCTCCCCGTGCCTCAGAGACCTCATGCTCAAATCACAGTGAGAATATTACTCGTCTCGTAGTGCAGTTTTGTTAGGATTAGATAAAATGCATGCAGGGTTGGTGCGTGGCACAGAGTAAGGAGTCTATACAGTGGTGATGGTTGATATTGTCACTGCTGTGGTGGTGATGGTTGGTATTTTGTTACTAGGGTGAGGGTTGCTATTAATACTCCAGCAGCAGTGGTTGGTATTGTTATCAGAGTGGTGATTGCTAATGAGTACTGTGGTGGTAGTTGATGTCACTATTAGTGGATGGTATTATCATTACTAAGATGGTGGTTGCCATTGTCACTGCAGTGGTGGCTGATGTCCTTAGAGTGGTGGTGGTGGGAATTATTGTGAGTAGGATCGTGGCTGTATTACTAGTGTGATGGTGCTTGATGTTGCTATTGTAGTTATGGTGGTTGGTATTACTGTCACCTGGGTAGTGATTGCTATTGCTACTTTGTCAACGGTTAATATTGTCATCACTGCGTTCATGGTGGTCAATACTTTGTTACCTGGGGAGACCTGTACCAAGGAGAGCTGCACCCTACTTCTGCAATGTAATGGACAGACCCTCCATGTGTGACACCACCGCAGGGAAATAGGTTAGAAGCACGTAGTAAAGACCTGGTGATCATCAGGACTGGCACCAGCTTTGCATTCCTCATGCAATTCTTCCCTTCACAACCTGGCTGGCCTGTTTTCACCCAGATGTACTGGAAGTTTCCTGGGATGATTCTACCTATGTCAAACCCATATTCCAAATCTAGGTGAGCCTTTAGTGAGCTTAACATTTGGCCAATAGAAAACACTGTCCAACCCAGTCAGCTCTGTCAAAGCAGCCGCTCCTTTCTGGGACCTGCACTGCTCACAGGAAATGAGACAGGGGCTGGTGGGGTGGGTGACATGCCGACTTTCCTGCTGGAGCTTGCCCCTAGTCTCACAGGGTGCTTCTAGTCTAAGGGTGTGAAGGAGATAATTTTGTAATAGCTCAGATGTGATGCAGCTGTAGCTGCTTGGATCATTGGAAAACTTGGTAAATAGAAAAATCATTAAAAAATGAAATGTGCATGCCTTACACCCATCATATGAATGCAAAATATGCAAAGGAACATAACGACACTGTTTGAGGTAGGACCAAGGATTTCAGTTTGACCATAGAGCCCAAGAATTTTTCAGTTTCTTTCTTAAACCACATTCATGATAAAACACCCAGTTTGGGGCATTATTAAAGTGCCTTAATAATTTAAAGACACATTCAATGCTGTTTGAATGTTGGTCTCGCCTAGATTTTTATGATTTTTGCCAACTGTTTCACCTGTACTAAATTCATCAACTCTCCTTTATCAGTTAAGTTGTTCCAAACTGTTTAATTGAGTCTTCATAGAAACAACGGTCTTATCACATTCATTTCATTGGTAAGATGCTCCTCAACTTGTGGGTTATATCCGGATTAACCCAAATTAAGTTGAAAATATTTTAAGTCAAAATGCGTTAAACACATCTAACCTACTAACATCCTAACTAAGCAACACAGCACATTGTAGAGTAGGTTTTCCCTGTTGTGATCATGTGTCTAGGTCCTGAGTTTGATTCCTAGTACAAAAAGAGAGAGAGAGAGAGAGTCATACTCACACTCCATATTACTAACCCAGAAAAGAAAAAGATCAAAATTTGAAATTCAAAGTGTAGTTTTTACTGGATACATATGGCTTTCCCATCATTAACTCCAATCAAAGGTCTGAGACAGTGTGTGCATATGTAATAATTAGTCAACTTGCATAATTGAAATAGCAAGTGGACCTAACATAAGCAAATTTAGGAACAGCCACCACAGACTCCTGTCAGCACACAGTCAGACTACAGAAAGCAGAAGTCCAGGCCTAGCGGAGAGAAGACTGCTGGCTGCAAGCTTCCACAGGATCATACACTGCCATCCAGACATTATTCAGATAACTTAAGGAAGCCAGTTAATCCAGCAAGAGATTGATTAGAGACCTCTTAGTGTAGTGAAGCTGTCAAACAACTAGACAGTCACAGGTCCTCTGTGGCCTTCTCTCTCACGTGTTCTGTCGCTCTTTCATACCATTCACTTACTGTTTCCCTGGGATCATTCCACTTGACACTGGAGAAGGAGGAAGTCTCTGAAGAAACAGAGTTGGGGGAGGAAGGCCGTGTTTGAGGAAGAATGCCCTGGCACCTGAGGGTCTAGAAGCCTGCCTGAGCCTGAGCTGACAGCCCTAAATTATCTTCCTTCTCTACTGTTCTTTCCTTCCACCTGGCATCACAGGCCCAGGTGCTAAGGCCAAGGTTATAGCTGACGTAGCCTCTGTTCCTAAAGAGCCTACATCCTAGAGCTAGGAACAGTCTAGTGAGCATGCAGATTCAAGGCAATGGCATCAAGTTGTATGGTTGAGGAAAGATCAGAACTATCTAGAACATTGAGCTAGGCCTTCAGAGATCGGTAGGAGGTCACCACATAGAGGAAAGAGATTTTCCATGTAAAGGACACATACGCAGAGGAGGGAAGCTGAAAATTTGGTGGCCTCAACATCTGATGGGGTGGGGAGAAAGAGGTTGAAAAGGCAATCAGACTGGATCATAAATGAGCCATATTGTCACCCTGGCGGTCTCAATATCTTTCTGAAGCCACTGAGGAACCAATGTCAGGCTTTTAGGTACAGGGGTATCATGATCCTATTTGAGACAGATCGCTCTGAGTGGAGACTGTTCGGGTGTGGCAGAGTGAAGAGGAAAAAGAGTTTTCAAGATTGGCAGTGGAGGTCCTCATCTGACCCTAACCTGCAGAAAGATTCCCAGAGGTCACATGTCATGACTCCACTTAGAAAATACATTCTTCACAGGACAGAACTGGACACGTGGTCGGGTTGGCCGGATAAATGGGTGGACAGATGGATGCGTGGGTGGATGGGATTGAGTCTACCGTGCTGCTGGCTTTATATGTGTTATAATTTCTCTTCTTCCCCCAGCCATTTATCTCTGTAAGAGGACAATGCAGAATAAAGCAAGGCTGGAGCTGGCAGATTACGAAGCAGTGAGTACGATTATTTGTCAGGCTCGTGGTGGGAAAAGAGTAATGTCACCTTTCCTTCTCCCCACCCCCGCCCCAGGCAGTGGAATCGAGTCTCTTCTGTCTCCCCTGCTCTGACCTCAGTTCCTCTTACCATCACGGTGAAATCATATCTCTGTGTAAACAACCCTCAAATCTCAACAATAAAGACTCAATGTTACTTCAAATGTGTACTAAAATAATTAAAGAATAAAAAATAGGCGAAAAACTTAAAAAAGACCTTTCAACCAAAGAGGACAAAAAGATGACAGATACTCACATGGAAAGATGTTCAAAGCTATTAGCCATTCTGAAAATACAGATTGATTTCATGGTGAGCCGTCATTTCGCGTCTGTTAGAATGGCTAGAATGAAAAGTCCTGATAAGCCAAGCGTTGGTGAGCATGTGGAGCGACTGTAACTCGCCTGCATTGCTGGTAGGAGGGGAAGATGGTGCAGCCTCTCTAGAAAAAGGGTTGGTGGTTTCATACAAAGTTAAGCATGCATTTATCATATACCCAGGTGATTCCCCTTCTACAGACATATCCTAGAGAAATCGAAACTTGTATTCACATAAAAACCTGTACACTAATGTTCATAGCAGCCTCATACATGATAACCAAAAACTGAAAACAACCCAAATATACCTCACTGTGTGAGTGGCTAAACTAAGTAAGGTGCCCATAAGATGGAATACTATTCTGAGTAAAAAGAATAAACCACTGACACATGCAATCATTTGGATGAGTATCTGAGACATTGTGTTGAATGAAAGAAGCTAGTCTCAAGCCAGCCGTTCCACGTATGACATTCTTATGAAGACAAACTATCTGACAGTGGCTGTGCTTGTGGGTGGGCTAGGATGTGACAGGCAGGGATAGCAAAGGGGCTTTGGGGAAGGTGATGGAGCTGTTCTGTATCCCAACCGTTGTGTTGCTTATACAAACCTACACGTGTGTTAGAATTCACAGAACGGTTCCAAGAGGAAAACAGGAATTTGCTATATAACTTTTAAAGTTAAAATTGTATCTTTATACAAGGTGTGATTAAAAACTATGGCAAATGCTTACATTTTTTAACTTATTAAAGTAAAAGACACATTACCATTCATCTCCCTCAAAATACTGCCATTCACTTCAAACACACTTATCTCATGGTTCTTGCCACTTTCTGAAGCAGTTTTGAAAGTTCTTCCTCCTGAGTGTCTTTAGTTGTGCTGTTATGGCTGCCTTAATGTCCTGAATCAGTTCAAAAGGTTTAGGTTTTGTGATCATTTTGACTTTGTGGAGACCAGAAGTTGTACAGCACCAAATCCAGTGAATAAGACGGGTGAGGACACCGTGTCGTGTTTTATGACCCTGTCTTTCTGTTGAACGGCACTTGGCAACAGAGTTCAGCTGTTCATTTTTTTTAAATCAAACTTACCAAAGACACTCACAAAAGAAGACTTCCAGAACTGCTTCAGAAAGTGACAAGATTGACAGGGTAACTGTGTTCAAACCGAGGGGAAGTTGGAGGGAGATTAAAGGCAGTCTGTCTTTTATTGTAATAAATTTTTAAAATTTAAACATTCACGAGATATTTTGATCACCCACTCCTATGTGCCTGGTACTACAGGAGACTGTATAAACAAAATTCAATCCAGAAGATAAGACAAGATGCATGTCACAAGATGTATCTCCTTTCCCCGTGTTCTCAACTTTCCTCTTCCATCTTCCTTTCTAAGCTGTGAGGATTCCTTGCAAGAATGAGATGCCCCACTACCACTCGCACATCCATTTTCATTTGAAACAAAAACTCAGAGAAGTTGAAGATTCACTGATAATTTTAAAATGTATTTTTAACTTTTGGCTGGCATAACATTTCCTCTAAAATGAATTTTGTGTGGGTCATAGGGAATCAGAAAAATTGTCTGATGGTGTAACGGTCAGCACACTAGATTCTGAATCCAGGAAAATTGTCTGAACTTTCATGTGCCTTCTACTTCCCTCTCCACATACGTCCTCCAGGGGAGGCGTTCCTGAGCCAGGAAATGATTGCAGAGCCAGAAGCTATGGGAAGAGGTAGTAGAGAATTCATGTTGGAGGTGGTAGAGAATCCCCCTGGGAAGCCTACCCACCTTCCAAATGCTCCTCCCACTTTTACCACCTCAGTCTTCCAGAAGAAACACGAGGTCCCCCACGTGCCGGTCCTGCCTTTCTTGGGTCCATGTTTTCAAACCTACCAAGCCAACTAGATCAGCATTCCCTCTCCACCACCCAAAGGCAAATGGATGGACCAGTGGAAAGCGGGCCTTGGGCACGGCTCCCTACTGTCTTTGATCCTGCTTGTATCACATACCTGTGAGTAGGGGGAAAGAGTAGAAAAGTGGGAAATGCAGGAGACTGTCGAGAGCCTCAGGAGCAGGCTAAAGCCTGCACATCACATCATAAGAGAGAATTTTACGTATGCTCTTTCAAGCAAACGTGCCATGACGGTCTTATGACTCAGCACCCTGGGAGCTTGGTCCGACCCTTCTGCCCAGATGCTCACACAGTCACATCACCCTCTTCCCAAAGACTGCTTGTTAGCTATTTTTATTATGTAGGGCGAAGAACTTACACATAACTACCTCACTTCCCTAACATGACCTTCAGAAAAGACCCAGACTGCCATGGCCTTGTTTTGCCTGTGTTTCTCTTCCCCTATTTTCCATGTTTTAGAAAAGGTCCTACATATAAATAAGACAGTATCACCTCCTGAAATATTTTGTTCTGTTTTCTCTTCTCTTGCCCTATAATCTTCTTCTCTGGTATTTGTGAAGAATACAGATTCAAGATTTTTTTTTTTCAGGTTGAAGTTCTGCATACAGATGGTTAGAAACTGAAAGGGCATCTTGTTTCTAAAATGCTTTCAAATTTAAAGTCATTTTATTAAAGTTTTCTGCTTACATATTCTCCTTATAGAAAATAAAATTTTAAACCACCAAGAAAGAAGAGGAAATAACCTGATTCTCCCCTTAAGTTTTTTTCCATACATACATACATTTTTTCTTTACAGCAGAATAGGATTGTATCAGAAACATGGGGTCTACCGCATCTTTCCCTAATCATACACTGTAGTATTCAGGGAATCTTTCCATTTCAACAATATATTATCATTTTTAATGGCTGTCTGGTATTCTGTGGTGCGACTAGCAGAGTTCACAGGACTACTCTCCCAGTTGATTGACATTAGCCATTAGCAGCCTGGAGCCCTAGAACAGTAGAAGAGTCAGAGGGACAGTTTCTTAGAAGCACTCGCACGCCAAGCTTTATAATAGCCGTGAGTTCCTGTGTGATGCTCTTCCATTGAAGCTCCTTTCATATTAATAATCCACTAATGAGGGTAATCAATTAGTGTTGGCATACGCTCTATGAAAATACATAGCATAATGTAGGCTTTGGCCTTGCATTAATCAGAATTAGGAGGATCATTATGGGGCTGTCAAACACCCCTCCTCACTGTCCTAATGTTCCATTAGGTAAGTCCATTAGGTAACACTCGGCTTCTCCTCCAAAAGTAACCCTCAGTTACTTTTCTTTCTTTCTGTTTTCTGGGGGCCTTATTCTTTCTCTCTTTCTTTCTTTCTTTCTTTCTTTCTTTCTTTCTTTCTTTCTTGTTGTTGTTTAGTTTTGTTTTGAGGGGGGATCTCACCATGTAACCCAAGCTTCCCTCAAACCCACAGCAATCCACCTGCCTTAGCCTCCCAAGTGCTGGGATTACAGGTGCGCATTACCGTGTCCAGCGGAGGTTTGCTGGCCTAACTACCCTAACATAGACACTCCCTTTGGTCCACTTTTGAGTCCTATCTTTAAAGAGCACACTTTAAAGTCCCTACAACCTCCCCAGCTGCCTGCTGGAACGCACATCCTGGAAAGATCCAGCCTTGGTTTTGGTGCTGAGATAGCCAAAAGGTTGCAAAGACCCCATCCTTCCTTCCCCAGTAACTACAAGCCATTGTTTTCAGTAACCTTTATAACACGTGCTGTGTGAGTTGTGTTCTTGTAAAACACAGGGAGAGATATGAACTGCAGAGACTCCAACTTAATGGATGTATAAATGAGTATTAATAGTTCAGCTCCGTACAGCAGGGTCTGGTGCAGATTCAAATTGGGTTCATGTCCAGTGGATTTAATATGAGGCCCTGCTAGTTTGTTTGGAATAAACAGTATGGATGGCTGCCTTGTAACAAGCATAGGTGTCGAAGTATTAACTTACGATGATTAATCCCTTCTTGTTGGTTTTCATTTCTCACCAGGAAAACTTAGCAAGACTCCAGAGGGCCTTTGCGAGAAAGTGGGAATTCATCTTTATGCAAGCAGAAGCACAAGTCAAGTAGGTGAACTTAACAGAGACCTTTGCAGAGAGGAAATAGCTCTGGAATTTGGAGATAGAGTCGGGGTGGGATTGCCAAAGTGAAGATTCTACCTGACACTAGTGTCTCTAATCAAGAGAGTAGAAAGTGACATTAGTATGTGTTTCATCTTTGACACTGATGTCACTCTAAAACAATCAAAAGCACTTGCTTCAGCAATCGAGAGGGTTCCTCCCAAATGCAGCATTCTGCTTGTAGGAAGGTGTACTATCTGTTCAAGAGATTTCCAATTATTCTTCTTCCTAAGTGATTGGAAAACATCAGACCCAGGTTGCCTTTAGGACTGAAGATTTCATTTTCATAGAAAAATATATAAAGAGTTTTAGGGAGGCCAAAATCCAAATTAAACTTGTCCTTCTGTGCAGAGGTGTGTATCGTAGGCCTCCTCCTCCAGGGCAGAGCTGACCTCTGTAAGTTTACTGAATACAGAGAATGGATATCCTAGACAGGGGACCCCAAAGGACTAGCCTGAGCTTTCTCTCTATTTCTTCTTTCAAATACACCAAGAAGTTAACTCATTTCTCCTCTCAAAGTACAAGCAGTAAAGGAGGGAAAAAGTTGAAAGGATTTTTTTTTCTGCATTTTCCCTTCTAGAATAAGAAACTTCCTCTAAGAAACATGAGGAGTAAGAAACAAATGTTCCCCCAGGCCATAACTGTGATTGTCAATCAGATCCACTTAATCCTGGACATGGAGTTGCTCTGGTCAAGATCATCCTTGTTCTTTCCAGGGACTCTATCTGTTTAGCCAGTGTTAATAGGAAAAGTGGGACAGAGGAAGGGTGGGAAAGGGACGCTGATCTGGAGAAATACAAGTACCTATTCCCTGGGCACCTTGCATGCGAGCAGCCTTCCATGGGGCTTTGAATGAGCCCAGTCATACTCTGTGGGTGTCATTGCTTATCACCAAGAGCCAGGTCTCAGGCTGTGTGCATGAGGACGAATCATACCTATGACCCCCATTGGAAGTAACCTGAGGTCATCTGAACCAGTGGCATGCATGCTGCAATTACCGCCAGCATCCCTGTATAGTGTCTGCCTTTCCTCTACCCATACCAGCCACCTGCTGATCATCCTGATCCCTCAGAACTACCGAAGGATATGGGCACCAGGCCCCAGGTGCTAAGCTGCAACAGGAGGCCCCAGAGGAAGGAGAAGGTGGAAGGAGGGAAAGCAGATAGGAGAAGGCTAGGATTCGGATGGACTGACGGAGGAAGTTAGCTGTGTACTCAGCTGGGAAGCAAAGAGAAGCACAGTTTGTTCCTAAAGAATCAAACAGCATCATATTATAAAGAGAAAGGAAATTGTCACTTTGTACATGTGTGGTATTTCTCCATTAGCTTTTATAATTAACTCTGTGATGACATTATCATCGTGGGTCATTTAAGTACACAGCACTTATCACAAAAACCAGGAGGTGATCGTGGGTTTGGTTCAGTCCAGCAAACTGAAATGTCCCCAAGAGACCCGAGAACCAGAAGTTACATGGCAGTTAATCTGAGTTGCTTTTTACTTAGATAATATGAAGTAATACAGCCTTTAAAAAAATGAAAAGAAAGAACCTCTTACCTGGGCTGCTGCTAAGAACATAAAGAATCTGACTCTGTCACCTGTAATTTCCCTCTTGCGTCTGTGCCTCCTCCGGCTGAGGCTGGTGATGTTTGCCTTCTTGATCCTGACACATGCTAAGACCATTACTCTGCCTTTTGGAAGCCAGATGACTTAAGTGACTTTTAAAACACATAATTGCAGCATTTCACAGACATTTCTACTGAACTGCATGAAAAGCAGACTTTCGAGTTTGAGATGAAAAACTGACAAGCTGGTGGTTGTGTCCTATTCAGTGTGTTCGTGCAGCATTCCCTCTGCAGGAGGGGGCGCGTCGGTGGGCTAACTCTGTTCTCAGTAACCCTGATCTTCCTACTTCCCGCGGGCAGTTTCATTCTTGCTCTTTCCCGTGCCCACTGTGGTCCTACGGCAATCCGTACTCTGGCCTACACCAAGTCCTTAGCAGATTCGCCAAGTCTGAGGCTGCCTGGAGGGACGTGCCCACCTGCCGCAAGCAGGGGCCACCCAGGTGTCAAAAGCCTTGTGTACAGCGTGGCTCCTAGAAAAGGGACCAGAGAGCTGGGGTGAGGGCCAGAGGGAAAGATAGCACGATCCTCTCATTTCATCTCTCTGCTTTTTCAGAATTGACCGAAAAAAGGACAAGACGGAGAGGAAAATTTTGGACAGTCAAGAACGGGCCTTTTGGGATGTCCACCGGCCAGTGGTGAGGAAGCTGTGCTTGGCTCTCTGGGGTGTTTCTGATGACTGTAATTTTCCTTTATTCTTCTCTTCAAAGAAAGACTGTCTTTACTGGCCAGGTATTTATTTTCAAGGAAACCGTGAGGCTTTGCAAAATTGGTTTTGCCATTCATGCGTAGACTCTCCGTAGATTTTCTGGAGTGTGTGTGTCAGCTCCACCTTCCAAAAATTACCCACCCATGATAATATGGAAAGAACCAGGAATACAGCTCTGCGGCACAGCGCATGCCTGGCAAGCTCAAGGCCATGAGTTTGATTCCTGGTACCAAAAAAGAAGAAAAGAAAATATGGAAATAGGGGAACAATGGGAATTCCACCAGGAGAACTTTAAGTGCCAGAACCTCACTCTTCCCCTAAATTAACACTTCGCATTTCCTCGCTTGTTCAGCTCTAAATCTTAAAATACTCCCTTTTGAATACAGTTGGTTCTTGTTACTCACAGTAGTTGTGTTCTGTGGCCTTTGGAAGCATTGCCCCTGTGGGACATGCAGGACTGGGTTCCTGTGAGCCTTTGGCCACACATCTTTATCAGCTGATCATATAGAACTTCGTTTAATGTAGATTTTTGTACAAAGACACCTCTTGTAGAAAGACGCTTTCTTTAATCTGTGCGTTGATCATTGACATTGAACTCCCAGCCAACAACACTATAACTCACACCTCGGTGAAGCTCATCTAACGCACACATATTCTCCTTAGGGCACATCACAGCCTGCTTGCTCTTAGCAACACTGGACAGCAGTTCAGTACGCTGCTTGGGGGCCATTATGAGCAGAGCGTCGCCGACACACAGGGCAGCAATGCAGAAAACTGGGTACTAGACATGTCCTACATAAACTGACTTACGGTATAGGGCCTGAAATAAGAAGGGAGAGTGTCACCTTGTTCAGCCTCAGCTGCACATGTGCACCTGGACAACCCAAAATTGGTGACCTCTACACATCTGTGAATGGCCATTAAATTGCCGCCAGTATTGATTTCAAGGTTACGAATAAATTGTAGCAAGTTGGTGGATCCACCAGGAGGAAATCTGTAAATGGTGAGGTTTGACTGTATTTCTAATTTCATATGACTAGGAGGAATCTTGTATCTCCCTCATCAAATGGATCTAGAAATGAGCAGAATATTTCAACCTTCCTAAAAACTCAAAGAAAAAGCAAAAATAACTCTCCATCCTCATACTGGAGTCTTTTCGGATGGGTCAGTATAAGAAATACCAAAGCCAATGGCTGGAGCAATCTTGCCATGCAGATAGTAAGTTTAGAAACTTACACTATCCTACTACACGTCATCTTCATAGTAAGGTCAGCCTTTATATTTCCTGTAAGAACTCCGGGGAGGAACCTCTATTACAACAAAATGAAAAACATCACACATTACCTGTAATGAGAAAGATAAAGAGTGGTTCTGGCGGTGTCACTTGAGCTAAATTAGGAGAGTAATTTACACTTAGTAATTTATGCGATTTTCTTTTTCTCTCAGCCAGGTTGTGTGAATACAACCGAAATGGATATCAGAAAATGTCGACGTTTGAAGAACCCACAGAAGGTTAAAAAGGTTTGCTGGTTTAGCTGACTTCAAAATTCTTGCTGTGAATGGCCTTTCCATTTCTGGCACTTCTTAGATCATAATTTGCTATTTGTAATTCTGCTAGGTTTTATCTTTTGAAACCATTTTATTCACAAATTCTAGAAATACCTATCAAGTGGCTGGGGTATGCTAGGTGTTGTGATTGCTCCTGGGCCTCGGTGCTAGGTCCTATCAGAGCCCACAGTCTGGCAGGGATGAAGCCAGCCACCAGGCAACAAGGCGCCAGGTGCTCCGCTGGGGAAACACAGTACGGTTCCAGAGCCCCCAGGAGGGGCAGCCAAGCCAGATGGGGCTTCCCAGGGGCTTCCTGAAGGCAGCTCAAGTAAAATGAAGGCTGGTAACAGTTGGCTGTAGGGAAGTGGCAGTGAGAAGAGGAAACTAAAGGAATAAAAACTGGGGAGGTGCCCGGTGACAGTCAGCTTGGTACTTAGAAGCAAATGAAAGACTTAGGTAGAGCTAGATTGCCCAAACTAGGATCACCATCTTGCCCAACTGTGAATGACCAGGAATCATTTGGGGCTCGTTGACTGAAAAGATTAGCGGCCACAGCATGCCCACAGGTACCACGCTCACACTGCCATACTACCCGTACCGCCCCCCTCACCACCTCACCAAGAACCATACCACGCTGTGAGAGAGCATGGCAATGCACCATGCTAATTCCAAAAGGTCAGTAATGTGTCCCCAAACATTCCTACGTCCTCTAATAACCAACGGGGGTGGGGGTGGAAGGAGGGAGGAAGAGAGAGATTGAGTATCCTTTATCTAAAATGCTTGGGCATAGAAATGTTTCAGATTTTGGATATTTTTCATGTTTTGGGATATTTGCATATAACCCAGAGCCACCTTTGGGATGGGACCAGTCTGAATGATCTGAATGCCAAATTCATGTAACCTGAAAGTAATTCTTTAGAATTTTTTTAGTGAGCCTGTGTTTTGCCTGTAATCTGTCCATGAGGTCAGGTGTAGAATTTTTCATTTGTGATATCACATTGGTGCATAAAAAGCTTGAGAGTTGGAGTATTTCAGACTACAGGTCTTCGAATTAGAAACTGTATAAACAAGCACATATGCTGGACGGTGTGGGGAGAAAGAGACGTTCATTTCTTGAATCCATTTATGCATGTTGTTATTCACAATGTAAAATGCCCCTGTGCCACACTTTAACTTTTTAGTCTTGGGTATCCTCAGTTAATCTTTATGGACTCCTAGTCTTATAATCCAGAATGTGATGGCGTGGTGCGCACCTTGAGTCCACCTTGATCGTATTGATTTCAGCTACATGCTTTGTGTCCTTAAGGGCTTTGTTTCCTTCCTGAAGCAAAGACTGTCTTTAGTCTGTTCTGACACTAAGAACAGTTGAAAAAGAAGCCATAGCCGAGTCCAGAAATCTGTTTAACTTAAAAAGGAGCACCCAAAGCCCTGACCAGGTGGCACCAGATCTTTTATACATAATCATTAGCGCCTGAAGGCTTGAACTTCTTTTGGAAAAGAATCACCTGGGACATTTGATAAAAATGCAGGATCCCAAACCCACCCCTAAAGTTTCTGATTCTATGGGTCCAGGGCAGGGCTTAGCCATGTGTACCACACCAAGGACCCTCAGGCGACTCTTGCAGGTGGCCTATGGACTATACTTGGAGAAGGAAGATATACAAGGACACAGTCTCCTCTCAATAAAAGGAAGGATTTTTTCCTCACAGTTGTAACCTAACATGGGATGAGATGCCTCAATTGGCATAGTGTCAAAATTTATAATAGCAAAATCTTGGAAGCAGCCTACATATCCTTCAACAGATGCATGGATAATGAAAATATGGTATTTACACACAACGGAGCACTACTCTTCCTTAAAGAAGGATAAACTTGAGTCATTTGTAGGAAAATGAATGTATATTGAGACCATAATATTAACTGACATAAACCAGACACACAAGTTTAAATAGTGAGTTGTTTCTCTTATATGAGAAATGCAAATTATGAATAAAGAGCAAAGTAAAAGCAGATAATAGGAAGAGGGAGGTAAATCTTCCCAAGTAGGAAAGGAATAAAGAGATGGAGAAGGGGATGAAAAAGGCATTAAGAACTGCTATGCCCATGTGCCAACTCCACACAAGGAATGTACACATTGTGTACCGCAAGCAAGTACTAATAAAAAAACTCAAGGCCAGTTGCTCATATCCTGGACGTCAGAGATGAGACTCCTAGGATCAGTTGCGCGGTAGGACTAGCTGCCCCCTGAGTCATCCCTCCACCGTGAGGGTGCAGAGCTCAGACTCTTGCTTGTTCTTCCAGTCAGTGTACGGCGTAACGGAAGAGTCCCAGTCGCAGAGCCCTGTGCACATCCCCAGCCAGCCCATCAGGAAAACTACAAAAGAGGACATCCGGAAACAGGTAACCATCCTGACCGCCTCGCTCCCAGGACATGACGAGCTGGTTTCAAGCCCCTTGAGTGTTCACCTCTGAAGGACGAGTGAGCTTTGAGCTCAGTCCGCTGTAGGCAGATTGAACCTCTGAATGCTGTGTGTGGAAATGTGAGAGAGAGAATTCACCAGCAGCTATGAAGAGGGGTATAAATAAATGAGCTTCCCTCTAACTGCTGTGGGAGCTGGAGGTGGAGGAGCACACGTCTGTGGCTGGCCATTCAAATTGTAGCACACTTCTAGAGTTCACTAGCTCCACGCCACCCACCCTACTGCTGTGATTTCAAAGGAAGGTGTAGGAGCCAGGAGTGTGCATGTCCCTGTAATCCTAGTACCAGTACTGGGAGGCTGAGGCAAGAGGATCCTGATCAAGGCCAGCGTGCACTACATAGTGAGGCCCTTTCTCAAAAAAAGAGGCAAGTTTAAATGAAGAAAACCCCATCCCAATGTCATTTCAGCACTGTATGGTGGAATGCTATTTTCTTTCATACTGAGGAGCCCAGCAAAGAATAATTACACTGCTGCTTCTGCTATTCATTAGCACTAAGGCAATGTTAGGGCCAACTCTTTATGGTATGCTTTCCTGGCCTCTGATGGGAAGTGAGCAAAGAAAGGAAATTTTAGGTGCCTTCCCTTGACAAGTTTATTGGTGGATAGGGGAGAGGAAACAGATATGTGAAATAGCTATTTGATGATTTTGGTGAAATATGCCCAGTGTTTCTGATACACTTGTGAAAGGTGGGCGGAGGAGTGGTCCCCGGGGCTTTGGTCAAAACAGATTTTTGTGGTACATGCATTAGTTGTCCGTGCTGATGCTAAGCTTTGCAGAATACATGCTCCATTTAAGTTTGGGGAATGACTTTTGGGAATCAAGACTTAAATTATAACAAAATTCAGGCAAATGTAACAGGTAACATTGGGGTCGAAGATATAACGCAGTGGCACAGTGCCTGCCCGGCAAGCGCAAGGTCCTGAGTTCGATTCCTGGTATCAGAAAAACCAGGTAACATAGACTGAATTGTAGAATATGAATCTTAAGTGTGGTAGGAATTTCTAAAGGGGCAAAGTGGTTGCTTAGGGTATAAATCCCGAGGGTAGGAGAAGTCTCGCCACAGGCACTTGGGGCATTTTGGTGGGAATGTAGGATTTGAGTTCACAGGCCAACGAAGAGAAGAGTTCTATTCTGTTCTTGACATCCTTGTTCACTCTTTCCCCAGATAACATTTTTGAATGCACAGATTGACAGACACTGTTTGAAAATGTCCAAAGTGGCTGAAAGGTATGTTTTCCCCTGGATAATAGTACTGTTTTCTTCTTATTTTACAAGGCAAAAGGAGTGTTAGAGGGTTATAGTTAACAAGGGTGTTCAACTTTAAGAGTTAGCATAGCTACTCATTAAACTGATGTAGAAAAAAACCCACAGCGTCTGTGTGTGTAGCTGAGATAACAGGCCTCCCTGGAGTGATGTCAAGCAATGTCCTGTTGCTAAAGCTTCTCAGGGGTGGCCATGGGACCTTGGCAGTCAGGGAAGAATGTCCTTAAAAGCTCCAGCACGCACCTTTGCCTTCAGCCTCTTGATTAATTCCAATGGAATCACTCCCTTTTCAGCTGTAAAATGCCCAGATTCACTTTATGGAGAAAAGAAATTATGTGTGCCCTTTGAGACACCGGCCACGTAAACAGGAGGGGCCTGGAGTCCTCAGGAGGTGTTCTGCCTCCACACGCCATGAACTGCATCAAAATAAACTGTAAAGAAAGCACTTGGCCCCTCCAGCCTGGCTTCCACAAGAGCATGTGGGCTACAATCTGCACCGGTAGCTGGTTCCACCCCGTTAACTCGTGGAGATTCAATTTTATCAACTGAATGGTCTGGTTTTGAATTCTTCGGTGAAGAGTGGAGACCACTTGGGGAATCTGTATGGAATAAATCTAATCAGGTAGCCCAGAACTGAGCATTTGTTTATCCATATGTTGCTGTTAAAGCAGTGACCAATTTCTGGGATTAAGTTGGGTCTTAGCATTTATTCAACATCAGATAAACTGAGTCCTTTAAGCCCAGCTGGAACAGGAGGCTGGCTCGCTGTGTGATCCATCTGTAAGCCTTTCTCTGCTGGTACCTAGGTTGATCCACATGTTCTTTCTATACATAATGATAAATAATGACAAATGGAAGCTAAGAAAGTCCAGCCCCATATCAAAGGCCTGAATTAACTGTGCCTTCAGGGAAGCCAAGGACATCTGTAGGTTCTGCTCAGGTCTTTAGTGGCAGCTCATATCTTTTCCAGGGTTTCTTGACAGTGCACCCTTGACATTCTGGGCCAGATAATTGCTGGTTGTGTTTATAATGCCTGGTGCATGGTAGTATATTTAACAGCATCCCTTATGCTGTTAAATAATAGAGGCCGGGAGTGCCCTAACTCACTGCTGTGATAAGCAAAAATGTCTTCAGACTTTGCCGAATGTCCTGGGACAGAGTTGGGAGGGCAAAGTGACAAATCCAGGCCCACTTAGAATCACAGGTATGGTCCTACTGTGATACTGGATTGCTTTGAAACCTGTTGAATTTGGTACTTAATGCATTCTGACATGAAAACGTTGCCCCAGTACTTGTTATTTGTTTGATACTAAATGCACAAGTTACAGCCTGTTGGTGGATTTGCCTCTCGAGTTGCCACCTCTTCTGCCCAAAGCAATTTGTATGGTGCTGTCATTTTTATACTCACCACGCCTCCTCGAACCAATGAATGGTGACGACTCTCCAGGTACCACTGTATTCCTGTTCTCCCTGATGCAGATGCTTCTGAAGGTTGCCGGTGGCTGGAGCTGCCTCAGACTTACACAGCAATTCCTTCGGAATGGCAATGACAGCTAACTCTAGGCTGCAGAGCCGCCTCACGCCCTCACTATCATGACGCTGGGCTCTGCACGAGCATCAGGTTCTGAAGTGCTTTTTAGATGTCACTGTGGCTCTTTTGGCCCAAAAGTGTGACTGAAAGGGAATCAGCTAAGATGCTCAGCTGTACCGGTACCACAACCCAGGAGTAACCACAAGCTTCTCTGTGAAGCAATGACAGACGTGACCATGGGGCACGTCATGGGGTCGGAGTGCGAGCGGTGTGGACGCCTGGCCTTGGAAAGGCTGTGCAGAGCTGTCCTCATAGGAGCTAGCGTACAGGGGGCGCCTCTGCTCGGGTCTGGTTGCCCAGGTCTGGTGGTCTCACAGTCTCACACAATAGAAATCTGCAAGCCTCAGCCCTAGGGACCTGGAGTGCATGGTTCCAGGACTGGCTCAAGCAGACTGCATTTTGGATAATCTTCAAGTGGACTGATCTGATCCCTGAGGATCTGGTGAAACATCTACCACGAGTGACGCAGATTCTTTTACCTGAGAGCTCACACCGCAAGAAAAGTGGCTTTGTCTTTTCTTCGGGTGTGAAGTCTGGAGCAGTCAGCAGGAGGAGGGGAGAACATAGCAGGTGTGCCGAGGCCGGGAATCGAGAAGGCCCAGGTGGGAGGGGCGGAGCGGGCTTGGCACTGTCCATTGTTTGTTTATTTGTTTTCTGCTGGCAGGAGGGAGCCCCACCTGGCACTTCTAATTATGGCTGGGAGCTGCTCACACTGGGGGTTGTTCCAACCGCAGCTCCCCACTCCCCAGCTAGAAGCCTCCAGGAGCCTGACCCCAACGGACACATTCCCAGCAGCACTAACAGGCAACTTCTCAATGTGACACAGGGTTTCTCATCAGAGCCCCAAGGAAGCTCCCAGATAGGGAGGAGTGAGGAGAGGAGCCGGGTGTTAGCGGGAGATAAAGCAGCCTGGAGCCTGGCTGTCAGCGGCTCTGCCCTGCAGAGGTGGGGCCCGGGAGGTGGCGCTGGCAGCTGGCCAGAGGTGAAAGCCGAGCTCTCTCAGGTGGGCTCACAGCCCCATCCCGATCCAGTTTCCCTGGGCCTGCTCCAGGTGATAAGTGGTAATTAGTCGAACTGCATCCCCCGGAGAAAAGGGCCCCATCATTTTTCACATAGCTCCCCAGAAACTGGCATGGGGGAGGGAGACTGCGGCTGGTGTAGATCCAGTTGTGGACAGGGTAGGGAAAAGGTGCGGCCAGACCCAGCAGGAGGGAGCAGGAAGCTCCGCAAACCACAGGGGCAGAACAGCCGACTTTAGGGACGGTCTGGAGACAGCTATGGAAGTTTGAATCCTGCCTGAGTCATTTCCTGGCTTCTAAGTGGTAAAGCAAGTAGCTTATCTCTCTGCACCGTGTTTCAACCTCTTTAAAGGGGAGGTAGTAGAGGTACTTCACTTACAGGGTTAGTGAGCTAGCACACAGCAAGTCTTGGTCCAGTCTGGGGCACTCAGCACTCACACTGAGTGGACGGGATTCTTTCCCTGCGTGGTGATGCACAGTACTTTGCAAAGGAACAGAATTCAAATGGAGGAGACAGCACACACTTGGATGCACTGCTCAGAGCCACACGGGGCAGGCCACGCTGGGAGGCTGGCCCTGAAGATGATACTCCTGTGGGGCTCATGCAACTCTTCCCACCCACCCTTTCTGGATCTGTGCGGCTCCCCCTGTGCCTTGCACACTCGCCAGTCTGGTGTCCTTGAGGTGGAGGGGTTGCACGTGAGGAGACAGCTCTGCAGCACAGACTTTCCCAGCTCACCCCAGTTTACATATTTTGTCAGCTGTCCCCATGAACAGCTAAATGTATCAGCATGGCTGTGTGCCAGCTCACTAACCCTGTAAGTTAGGAACCACTACTACCTGCCCTGTAAAGAGGTGGAAAGATGGTGCAGAGAGATAAGCTGCTTGCTTCACCAGTTAGAAACCAGAGAATGGTTCCTCCTCCTCCTCCTCATCATCATCATCATCATCATCATCATCAAGGCAAACTGCATTTCCTAGGCTGCCTTTTACACCTGGAAGCAGCACAAAAGCTTGTTCCCTGGTTTTTGTTTCAGCACCTGTAGTGTCTGCACACACTAATGAAATTTCCTGATAAATGCCACTTCACGCCTCGAGCATTTTATGGAAATCTTCCCTAAATATGGTTCATGCACTTGTCTTCCTAAAGAAAGGACAATACATTTCAGGGAAATTTTCTGGGTGACTGGGGCCAGTGTTATTATATTGTGCTTTAAAATTCTGTCAGTGACCAGGGTGTTGAGAGACACCACAAGCCGCCTTCCTTTCCCTAAGTGGTTCCAGACTATTATGTTCAGGGATTTCGTTGCTGGATTGTTTTTTTGTTTGAATCAGCACACTTCTGTCCAGTAGCCCTTCCTCTTTGCTAGCCAACATCCCTTTCCAAGCGGTCGCAGTCGAGGTGTGTCAGTCAGCTATGACTGACTAACAATGCACCCCAAAACTCATTGGCTCAGAACTACAGTGGTCCCGCTTTGGTTGTAAGAATGTGCCAAGACCCCCAAAGAATGCCTGGAACTACAAATATACTGAATGTTGTATATACTATTTTTCCTACACATACATCACTATGAGAAAGTTTAATTTGTAAATTTAGCGCAATAAGAGATTAACAATAATAACAAAATGAATAATTATCAGAAATACATTGATATAAAAGTCCTATGAATGTAGTCTCTCTCTAAATAGCACCACATACTTTCACCTTTTTACTTAAAAGAAGTACTTGAAGGCTTCTCTTTGACACATCTGAATCACCAGCATTACCACATTTGTACTTGGGGCCATTAGTAAGTAACATAAGAGCTACTTGCTTGCAAGAACTGTGACACCATGACAGTCCATCTGATAACACAGGTGGCCGTGTTATGCTATAGATCAAGAAGGTTCCCCAAAGGTCTCAGGAGCTTATGGGTGGAGCTTTTGGAAGGTGACTGAATCATGGGGTGCTATAGCTGACTTGCTGTTAGGAGGGGGGGTCTGGCAGGAGGAGGTGGTCACCGGGGACATGACCTGGAAGGGTCTCTCTCACCCTGGCTCCTTCCTTCTTACACTGCTTCCTGACTTCCATGATGTGAGCAGCTCTCCTCCGCCAGACCCTTCCATCCTGAGATTTCCTGTTTAAGTCAGCCAACTATATACTGAAACTTCAGAACTGTGAACCAAAACGAACCTCCCCTTCCTTAAGTTACAGGTGTCAGATATCATGGCTTGGCAACCAGGAAGTGACAAAGATAGCTATAAGAGATGAACGGGCAGGTAGTGGACCCAGCATGGTATGCTGGACAAAGGGATCAAAACCATGGGTAAGAGGGGAGCTCCTTTATAGGCACTTGCTGTGACTCCTATGTCCA